AGAAAACAAATAAACCTCATTCCACAAACTCTAATTTTCTTAATATATATATTAAAATGTATTAACTTCAGATTCCATCAGTTTTGTCTGTCAAATGCTGTGGTTAGTCAAGTGCTGTTAGTAAAGGGGCTGGTCTAATGTTTACCTTTTTCTCACAGGTCCTTTCTTCCAAATCGAATCTCAATGATATAAATATTAAGAATGGAAGGGGAGATGTCTGAAATTCTACAGTTCAACTTATATTCAAAACTTATAAAAGATACTCATAAATGTCTTTTAGCCTTCAAAGTAGACATGTTTCTCTGTTATTTTTCTGTTTATGAAAGCCTAGTGAGTTCCTAGTGGACAGCCCTTTGTTAGGCTTCTTAATATGGTGTTTTTTAAAATATATTTTATAAATCTTTTAGTTGGTTCAGACTTTTCCCATTAATCTGAATTGGTAAGATGTTCACTATACAATTGTTACATGTGTGGGCAATGTAGTAACTGGAGTAAGGATAACATTTTTTGTGTTATTTTGTTATAGAAGATCTGTACTCCATTTCATTTTAATGTGAAATTAGGTTTTAGAAAGCAGTGATAACATTTTGTTTTCTGAAATGAAATGCCTAATGTAAGCAAAGTCTATGAAAACTATAAAATGTTCAAGTAAAAAAAATAGAAATTTATTTTTTAAATACGAAAGCATAAAATCAGAGAAAAACAAGCTCAGTCACTAAAACGAGTGCCTAGAGGATAAAATTCAGTTCTTGCCATTTCCTCTTTGTCAACCAGATACTACCAGCATTAACAGAGTTGCTGACACTTTGAATAACTCGACTATCCATCCAGATCCCAAGGGACAGCCCAGTGAAGAGAGGAATGCAATTGCAGAGACTTTTTATGATTCTTCTTTTCCCACAGAACATGTAAGTCAATTAAAAATACTGCCAAGCAGACCTTAGTGAGCTAATTCTACAGATATGTGTAGAACTGTATGCATCTGGATGCTTTAAGACCTAGCTGATCTCCAAAATAATATCAAGAGGGCAACATGGCACCATTTTTCACAATTAAGGTTGATGGAAAACAGCAGGAAAAAGTCACAGTGTATAAATCAAATAGATATAATCCAGCCTGTTTGGGGAAGGAGAGTGTGAGGTAGTGTATTATGTACTTCTATTCTTTAAGTCACCTAAATTTAGGAATACTGGCATTTGAACATTTATTTAAACTTAAACAAAAACCGTTCAGCAATTTAAGCATTTAACATTTTATTTTAATAAAAAAATGCCATAAATAATCAGTTAAATTCAGTTGTTTTTAATCGTGTTTAAGGTAATTTACATTTTGAGAAACTGATTACTGCAAAGAAAATATACCTATTTTAAATTATTTCAATTAGAACACAGTATGTGAAAGGATCAAGTATCCCTAAATATATATCAAGTATGGATATAAATATTAAGCAAAGTATTTATACAGATTATATAGCTCTAGAAGTCCATTTGACATATGAAAAGCGACTAACTACAGCTGACAGGTTTTTCAGTAAAATTTATAAGTTTTTATCTTAGTGTGCAAAACTTTAGTGCAAAAAAGTCTGTGTTGTTCAAAGTCTAAAAAACAATTATAGGTATAACTACTAAAAGTTACCTAAAAAGGTTAGGAAAGTTTATTTTTAAAATTGCATAGTGACAGATCTTAAATTTTGAATCTTACCAATTCAGATTTTAAATTCTAGAGCACATTAAACAACTCTCTTTAGCACATATAAAATGAAAATTATATTACAGACATAACATGTAGTACATATGTGTAACATATAAGCCTTAACATATTTAATTTTTCTTTTTAAATATGAGAAACCTACAGTAGATAGTCTAACTCTTCTCTGGGGGAGTTGAAACATTAGAATCCCCCTTTTGCACCTTTTCATAATTGCCCTCAGCAACAGAGTTTCAGCTTGATGTGTAGAAGTGTTTATCTTTAAAATATGGTAACTAAAGCCAAGTAAATCTGGCATTGGGAAATCCTCGGCCAATTGGATAAGTCATAGAATCAAAACAAAAAAGGAAGCTTGAGTATCAAAGCTAGACACCAATTTCTAATTGAATTACTTAACACTTATTAATTGCCTTATTTTCAAACAGTGTCAAAGGCATGAAAATTTCATGCCTCCCTTTCAAGCCCAATAAGAAATTTGTCTAATTCCTAATGCTTTTCCTGCAATTAATGTTTTTAAGAATTTACATTTATAGAATTAAAACTTTCAAAAAAACATTCCCACAATGGCCTTGTAACGTACATCTATTTTAGAGGAAGCAGTGACACAAATGTGAAATAACTTTCCAAAGTATTAAGATACACTCTGTGATGGACTTAGACTACGCATCTTGGTTGTTAGTCAAATGCTATCTACTTTCTCAACTTTTATGATTTTTTTTCTCAGAATACTAGTGCACATAAACTCTGCTCAGTGGCTAAACAGACATTTTCTAGATGCTTATTACTATGTGCCAAGCACTATGCTAATTAAACTCCCTTGTCCCAGCTAAAGCTTGATTATCAATTAACATCTAATGTGGGACAAATTTAAAAGCAGATTTATTATTTTGCCTAGTCTACTGAAAATGCTATTATCCCTGCATTAAAACAGACAGATCTAGTCTATGAAGCCTGTTTACTTGCTCCTTAGTATTCTACACTTTCCTAAATCAGGGGCTGTCAAACAACAGCTAGTGAGTCCAATGCAGCCCACTGCCTCATTTTAGTAAGTACAATTCATTAGAGCACAGCCACACCCATTTCTTTACCTATGGCTATTTTTGTATTGCAGTGACATAGGATAAGCAGCTGTGAGGAAGGCCACTTTGCCCACAGAGCCAAAGATATTTACTTGCTGCTTTACAGAAAAAGTTTGCCAGCCCTTGTTCGAAATGAAGACAAATGAATTTTAGTTAGACATAACCAGAAAGAGAATAGAAGTTCTTTATATTTTTCAACATATTTTTATGCATACTCTCCGCACCAACCCTGTTAAATTTCAGGCTAATCCACCTTTTCTCTGTATATTCAGAACTTAAATGGGTGTGTTTTTTTTAATTGGAGAAGATTAGGTTGCTTGCCTGCTGGTCTTGATCATGCCCAGGAATAAAGTGGGGAGGGGCTGGAGTAAGCAGAGAAAGCCATACTTATTTTACACACTCAATTTAAGTTAAAATTTTAAATGCAACCCCAGGGCTAGTACCAGGCTGGGGTAAATTTTCGGCCAAAAAGATCTTTTGAGTCAGGCAGAAAGAGGAGGTTAAGAGATAAGTGATCTTTAAAAGGAGATAGTAAAGGAAGGAGCAGAAATGGGGCAACTTATCTAAAATATTACTGCTGTGGGCTGCAAAACCTCAGTTAAGCTAAATAGGATGTTTCATTAAATATAAAAATTTAATCTACATATATCTTATCTCTACAGCCAGTCCCTGTGCCTGTTTCTCTCATCATGTAGGTAGTTAAGGGGAAAGAAACTAAAATAGATATGTATAAATGTCTCCTTTTCCATTATCAAGATAAAAAGTCAAAGAATCAATATTTTGGAAAATGAGGTAATTTGTACTTGATGTCACATGCACCAAGATGTATCAAGTATTTTACTGGCAAAACAGGGCCATTAAGTTATACAGATCACTAGTCATTTAACTTCAAAATCAGTAGCAACCTAGATTTAGATTTGATACATTTCTCCGTATCAGTTCTGCATGAGTGACTTGTACATTAATTTTGGCCATTACATGAAGTATATTGAACACACTTATATGCTAGACATTATCAGAAAAATACATTTATGCACATTTTTGTTATAATAATTAGCACTAACAAAAATGAGCTGATGAGAAAATGGAGGTCCACAAAAGTTAAATGACTTGCCTAAAGCATCTTGACCGTCCTGTGCTGATACTTCTGTTTTCGTGTTACTGTGTAAGAGCATAAGCAATCAGACTCACATGAACACAGCACCATCCCAAGGATCAGAGAGGCTAGGACTTTGAGGGGCCTGGTGACTGACTATAGAATTCTCAGGAGCCAAAAAGAGCAATCCAAAAGGGGCAGCAATCCTTATGGAACTGAGATCAAATGTGAACATTGAATATCATTTAAAAATTATTACTATATAATCTCTTTGAAAACAATGTAACCAATAAGCCACTTTTATCAAATTGGGAGATTATAATGTAAGGCAATATTCAAAGATCTTCACAAAGATTTATGAACAAATGACATTCATCATAGCCTAATTAATAAACATTTTCCGACAACTTATACAACAATATATTAAAAATATAGAACATGGAATGGAGCCATGCTCTTAAAGGCTTTTAATAATAGAGGGAAATGCTAAAAATATTAACACGGCATACAAAATGATGTGATTCAAATTTTCAAAAAGTATATACAGAAGAGACCAACATATTTACATCAAAATGTTTAATGATGGCTGGAGTCTTGGGTAATTTTAATGTAATTCTTATCCTGTTCTATATTTCTAAAATATAATATTCTCTGTAACAGGAGGTTTTATCTGATAATCTGAGAAGACCATCAAAGACTTTTTAAAAGAAATTTATTTAATAGGGATAAACTGAAAGAAATATTCAATGAGGAGATAAATGATCACATATCCATAAAAGGTCTGCAGCTACTCACAATTATGAGAAATTTTAATGACAAAGGCAAAACCAAGATATAAAATTCTGTAGAATGATCAAAGATGCTTAAAATAGAAAAAGGACTAGCAGCAAATAGTACCAAAATGTTGACAGGTCTCTCTGGATAGTGGATTACTAGTGATGTCTATTTTATACTTTTTCTACTTTCTAAATTTCCAATAATATTTTATCATCAGAAAAAAAACAAAATGAAAAACATTTTAAACACAACTTATTGTAAGTATGACCCAATGCAGTGCCTTGGAAACATGCCAACTTCCAAATACTGCATTGCTCTTTCCTCTTTCTCCAACAGTGATATTCTGAATCATGAGGAAATATGGAGTAAAAGATAGTTTTATATGGCAGTTAGCATTTTTAATTTTCCCCTGGCTTTGATAGAAGATACAAAACACAGACACATTTGGATGGGAAGGGAGTAAAAGACAAAACAGATTTTTATCTGCATGTTTTAAATATTTTTTCTTTCAATGTAAGCTCAAGACCTTTCAGAAAATGTTTGTGGTATTCCTGGAATATATTAGGCATCTTGAAAGCTACTACATAAAACTACAAATTTACATTTCAGTTTTTTTGGTGCCAGAATTACTAAGGGTAGGTGTTGGAAATTAGCCAAGAGAATGGTGGCTTCATGCCATACTCATAACTGCAGAAGCTTGAGGATTTTCAAACTCTTTCATTGATGAATGTTTAGGAAATTTCACACTGGTAAAACAAGTTTGGTTTTTCCTAGATGAGAGCCAACCTATTACAAAGTGATTTTCAGACAATGAAGATTAAAGATACTGATTTAACTGTGTCTTTTACTTGTGAAGATGACTGGCAGAGCCTGATAACAAATCAAATAAACAAAATCGAAAAGTTCCTAACCTCAGAAAATGGCAACCAACCTAAAAAAAGAAAAGCTGAAGAGATGTTGGATTAGAGATTAAAATAATGCTTTCAGCGGTGAACTGAACTGAAATATTGATGTGGTTTTGACTAGAGCAAAATAACGTATCTAAAAGCTTTACAGATAATACTCACTTCTCCACTTTTTTCTGATGTGATATTACCATGTTTTTGCTCAGCAAATGCTTCATGTAAGATAGCTAAGACTGCAGTTTGCTGATAGCAATTCCCCTTAAATTTATCTTTCTTCCATATATCCTTTCATCACAGCTCTTATTGCACCTTCAAAACTCTTACAGAACACAGCTTATGTATTACACAAGACACAAGTAACCCTTTGTAATTTATTACTTTGTATCCTCTGAAGATTGTGATTTCTTTGAAATTTCTTTTAAATGTGAGACAATAAATATTCAAGACTGTAGTCAACTTTTGGCTTATAATGTTTTACTATGATTTAGATATTTTCCCCAAAAGAACAAAATTTATTAGCTTAAAAATTCAGGTATCAGAAAGACTCAAAAGGCTGTTTTTCACTTTGTTCAAGTTTTGTTTCCAGGCATTAAGTGTGTCATATAGTTGTTGCCATTGCTGTTTTCCAAATGTCCGATGTGTGCTATGACTAAAAATTGAAAAATTAAAAGTCATTAGTCAACCTTTTATCCTCTGGTATTCTTTTATACTACTACATACTTGTATCTTAATTAAAAGCAAAATTAAATATACTTAAAAGACAATTTGGTTAGAAGCTTATTTAAAAAAAAATCTTTACCATATTGAACCTGAACCTTCTACTTCCCTGAGCTACATAAACCAGACACAAAAGTCATTAGTATTCTAGTCAATGCTAAGCCATTAAATGAAATGTGCTGGAAAATAGGACTTTCATTAAATAAGCTAATCACATTCAGTCTGAACTTTAATAAAATTATGATAAATAGCAACTATTTAACTACAGTCAACTGATAAGAGCACCACCTTGATTCTCTAAACATTTAAGTAAAATAATCACAATTAAATTGTTCTACAAAATGCTGCAAAGAATTAAATGTCTTACCTGACAACCACTTTTCTCTGGGTCTGATCAATTTTGCAGTAGATCATTTTTGTTTTCACTGCTGAAAAAAGATGTTTTACATATGTTATACAGAGAATTCCCAGGAAAAACAGTCTAAGGTACGAACCTTTGACCAAGTAAGCCTTAATAATAATAGTAAGACTTTATAATTTTCTAACATTTTATAAACTGGCTCTTTGAATCCAGTAACAAGCCAAGAGAAGGCTATGGTTGATGGGCCAATCTACAGTAAACATCATGTAGTTTTCATTAAGAATTCTAGGTGTTCTCCCCTACAATCACATATGGGGGAAAAAAAACTAATTTCCTAATAAAATATTTCTTTATAGGTATGTCTAAGATTTAGAGCATTAGAAGAAGAAACCATGCCAACCGTTCTGTTCATTTTATTAATGTTAGTTAATAATGTTAATCCCTCAACTTTCAAATGTAAAAAGCTCAGAAAAAATTCCTGATTAACAGTTATATCACTTTCTAACACAACTATTGGGGAAGAAGTTCCCATTTCTAGGACAATCATAAAAAACTGATAATGGTTAACATTTGCAGGTATTTTTGTTCCAGGCACACTGGGCTGAGTGCTTTACCTGAGTTAATTCATTTAATCCTCACGACCACAAATGACTCCTTTATTCCTGTTTCATAGAGGAAGACCTGGTCTCAAACCCAGGTCTGAAACTAAAATCTAGGCTCTTAACCACAATGGTATACTACATGTAGGCCTTTGTTCTATATGACTTCAAAGTGTTTAGAACAAACACTAAAAACCACATAGCAATTTATACTTCTTTTGAATTTTCACTCTACTACAAATGTCTGTCAGTCTACTAAACATACACATTTGCTACCAAAAAAACCCCCAGCTTTGTTAACATAAGGCTCAGTTTCAAGATTAAAATTCTTATATTCCATGAATAAATTCTAGACAAAAATGAAAATGTTCCAATTGCCTTACCATCAATAACAAATGCTTCAACATCATCAGCACCAATCTGAAGTTCTTGTTGCATTGTATCAAAAGAAATTTCTTTATTTTCCACAGCCATTCCCATAAAAGTAAGTAATCTCATTTTTGCCATATTCTGTTCATGTAATAGTCCTGAGTAACAACAGTGAAGCCTGGTAAGTATCCATACCAATAAGACCTACACAATTTCGACTCTTATTTTAATTTGTGGAAGTCACTGAGAGCACTTACATAAATTTTGACAATATGTGAAAACTATAAACTGAACCCATAAATATGGAGTATTTAAAATTATTTTTCTAGAACTACATTTATTACTACAGTGCCACAGGTGATTTGTTCTGTGTGTTCAAGAGTTTTAAAATATTGTCACACGCATCCAGTTACAAAAACGTTCCATTTCCCTTCAGGTCACTTTAGATTTAATATTTAAAAGTTGTAACTGTAAAAGTGTGTTATCTCTTAAAAAAGAGTACCATTAACAATGATGCTTATTCTTTCTAAGGCAAAAGCAGAAAACTAAAAAATAATTCAAATCTTGCCTTATAATTAAATAATGCTACATGCTGTTTCAATTATTCATATCAAAAACAATTGTTAGACCTAAAAGGAAGCTTAACGAATTACCTGGTCCAGATCCTTTCATTTCAAAACACAACAAAATTTAGAAGCAAAGAGATTAAATGACTTATTTATAGTCACAAGTGGCAATACTAGTAGCCTTAGAAATAAACAACTAGAAATACAAATAAATATTTATGAATCCTGACTATCCCAATGTCTACCTGTGCCGAAGTAGAAGCTGAATTATAACACATCATATGTACTTGATAACTTATAAAAACAAGTTTCTAAATTATGAAAACAAGTTTCTAAAATTAATCTAGAATTACATGTTCCTTTTTTCTGAACTTTCAGATTATGTAAACTCAGCAAATGATCTATCACTACCTTTTTAATAATTAACAGCCTCAAGTTTGTACTGTTAAAGTTGTCTCTAAGCACTCCATAAATAAATTTGAAATGTGTTAATATTCATATATTAGCAGAAGACTAGGGAAGCCCATTAATATAGCACATAATAGTCTGTTAATTAGCAGTAATTATGATGCAGGCTTTCTATTTGGCACAGATTCAACAAAAACATGATCATAACTCAAATGAATGAGGTACCCAAGTTAAGTATTGCTAACTGGGTTTAATGGAAATCCACAAGCATCAAAAAATCAATTAGCACACATTAACCCTAATTAACAAATGAAAATTAGATGCTTATTAACTTTCTGAAGCAAGAAGGTAGCAACTGCATAACATCAGATTATACATGTGGACATGTTAGGGCAATTCAGTTGACACAAGATAATCTGTTGGCCCAAGTCGTCAGTGTTAATAAAACAAAGTGTTTTGATAAACTGTTGCCACCTGTGGAATCTATACATTTGTAATCAGATTTTCAGTTGTAATAAATCTCTAATATTATATCTAAAACTAAAAATATACACATTTAGTAAGATGTTTTCCCCAAAGCATCTTTTACAAACAAATTCCTAATAAAAGACTGCTACTTTGCATGGAGGTTCAAGAAACAAAAGGCAAAACAGAGAATTTGGTTTCCGGTTGGAAATAAATTAGAAACGTCATGTTTTCCTATCGCAGAACAAATACTAAAGGTTTTTCTCAGTATTTTAAAATAGAAGAAAATTCCTTAACACTCCTTATTCTGTGGGCATATACAGTTCTCTTTTAATATGATAAAATGATAGAAACTCCTTCACATTTTTAAGATATAATTAAAAATACTTGAAATAAAATTTTACTGCTCTGTGCAGTTATAAGCTTACTATAAATCAAAAAACTTAGAACAATGAAAATTATTTCTAGAATTATGTAAAACTATTATCTATCATATATATAGGGAAACCTTCGTTTAAAAACATTTCAAATTGATGTTTAAAGCTACTACTTCAAAACAAATAACCTAACTTAAAGCCTTTTAGGACTCTTGTTCTCAAAATCAAGCTATTAAGCTAGTGAAGTATGAGGAAGCTGTGCTTTGTTTCATGAAAACAGAACCTTCAAAAAGGAAGTCACAGTGTTCTGTGTCATATTTCAATTTTAAAGTTATAAAAAAATCTAATTTTATGGAAACATTTATTCATTATTAATATGTCAAAAACCTTAATGCAGTAATAAAAAAATGTGCATCATTGAGCAATTTCTGCATTTGTCACTGACCCCTGCCTTAAAATGCTGCAATATAGAAAACGTAATTTTAATGCATGCAATAGCTTATGAACCAGTGCTCCTTTGAAACAGTCAATTACACATCAATGGGGGAGTGTCAAAGTGTTAATTACTACTCCTTTTTCCTTGGTGCGTAAATAAAGAGGTTGCTGACATTAACATTCCATCACATGGCTTCATGCCACAAAACAATTAACTGGGACAGAATGTGGTTTTCTGGGTCTAGTGCACCTGGCCAAAGCATTCTACACAAACACACTCAAATCTACTTTATCTTGATGTATTTCAAATGCCTTATGTTCAGAATAAGTCTGCATAAAATTTACAGGTAACAGGAATTAATGATTACTAAATTGAGGACTAAGAGTATAATCGAAGTAGATTATATGTATAAATGTATTCTTTTAAGTACAGCTCAAAAGAACAGGGAGACGAAATTCAATTTTAATATGGAAAATACAACCTCTAATGTATTTTGATTGTCTAGTGGGAAAACAAAACATCTTAGTTTCATCGCTGACTTCACTCTCAAAAACCGATAATTTCATAAAGCTAAGACTGACTTTCCTGTCTTCAACAAACTAAAGTTAGGACAGTTTCTCCCATTATGTAAAATCACAACTGTTTCTGATCCCATCTACAACTTCACTTAGATCTGCTTAACAATACCATATACTTCTATAATCTATTAATTTGGAGATGGAGGGTGTATGTGCACGAAGCATAAAATACTGTATTAAAGGGGTGGAAAAAAAAACCCTGCTCGTTACAATTATGTGACTATGGCTTTTTTAGAAAAACACCAAAAATATAAATTACCATGCATATGAATAAAGAATGAGGTCTTTAATAAAGAAACTTTATTTTAAATAACAAGTACCTTTAATCATATTTTGTCAACTCTTAAATGGGTACTTCTAAAATTATGATCAAAGCAATGGTGATCCTTCAAGTTGTGTCTCTGCTCCATTCCCCATTCCAAAACTTTTAAAAACATATTGATGGAACTATTTATATCCGAATTTTCTCAAGTATCTGCTTATTTCTAGAACTTTACCTCAGAGAATCACGGTAGAGTTGGAAGGGTCTAAGATCCAAGAAGCTCTTATGGAGAGAAAAAAATGTCCAGGTTTTCTGACATGCTCTTTCCATCACAAATGCTTCCTCCTATACCTTCTGATTCCCAATTCATTGAGTAATCTTTTAAACTGTTTGTTGCTACCTATGCTCGTTGCTGTTTCATTACACACCACTGGTTAGGGTAATCTACACGTAAGGCCAAGATTGTATTTGCTGGATCTCACAGTACAAAACAGTTCTAGAATAGCACATTCCTATCTCTCTCTACCCCTGCAAAGAATGAACCCCAAAACTTACCAAGTGAATCGATGAAGTCTTTATTATTCTGATAAAACTTGACATATGATGCCAATTTAGCATTCACAAAAATGGTTAAAAGCTAAACAGATAAAAAAGAGACAAAAAATAGATACAATATTCAATACAGAATCAAGATTTATATTCAAGATATTTTTAAGACACAGACTCCCAGCAACTCTTTACATTTCTTTTTAAGACACTGACTCCAACAACTCTTTACATTTCTTTCAGTGCAGAAAATTCAATCTGATCAAATTACCATCTACACCATTTGTTTTAATAGAAGACTCACTTAGATGAAAGAAATGGTAAATACAGTGAGCTGTAAAGATGGTGGTAATGACACAGTACAAATGGAAAATAATCCAAAATGTATTTATACTTGCATTTGAAAAGTACGTTAATGTGTTTTTAAATACCAGATTTATCTTCCTAATTGGGACTAGCAGACACAATACACTAAAAAGAAATTTGTATTATCTAAATTCGTAACAGCCAGGCAAGAGAGGAGATGAAGGAAAAAGAGAAAGAACAGAATTGTGTTCAGCAGTTGGAGAAAAGCTAGTCTTCAATTTCAGTCTGTTCCTGATATAAAAAGAATAAACAGTTCTTCTCTCTCCAGATCTAATAGTCATGTTCATTAACACAAAGTAAAACAGTTCTGCTTCAGTATGTTAGATTTAGGAAAAGAGAACATTTTTCACATTAAGGATAAACTACTTACATCATGAATAAGCTCGCCTTCCAAAAACTTGACTGGTTTTAAAGTAAGAAGATGGTCAAAAAGAAATGCATTTGGATCTTTCAAAGCTCGTACAATACACCTTAATTAGGAAACAAAAATCCATGCTCAGATTCTTGAAGAAATTCAGGTACATTTCACTGATTTTGCAGGGTGCAAAACACATTTAACTCAGTAAAGTATTTAAGAGTTCAATATGTACAGTGTATGAAAAGGTGTTAAGACTGGGGTTAAAACAGGCCAATAAATCTATTCATCAAGTATATATATCTGTTTTAACAATAAAATTAAAAATAAAAAAAGTTATAGACAAAAACATAGCTAGAGAAAAAGTACCACCAAAGTAATCAAAGGATAAATAAAACAGCAGCATCTTGCAATACACTAGTTCTAGGTGAGTGCTTTACACGCATTAACTCATTTAATCATCACAATACCCTAGAGACATACAGCATGCCAATTTATGAATAACAAAACAGGCTCAGAAAGAACTTGCCCAGTAAGTGCTAATTAAGTGGTGGAGTATTTGAACACAGGTAGTATGACCTCAGAGTTGAAGATCTTTTCCATTAACTACCCTTTCTACATCTATCACAGGTCCTTGTGAAGCAATAATTCTTTAAAGAAGTTACCATAATTTCTATTTCATAGATCCAACCTGAGATTAGGGTCTATCTTTCAGACTGGGGTTTTCATCCCCATACCAGCTAGAGCGCAAACAGCAAACACCATGTGGCTAGTTCACATGCACTATGGTCCTTCCAATATCAAACCTTGAATTGCAGTATCTCCCTTAGAATC